CTAAATCCTTTAACCCTAAACCCTTTAACCCTAAACCCTAAACCCTTTAACCCTAAACCCAGTTGCTGAAGTCATCCTGACTCAGGGGAGATGTTGGTGTCCTGACAGCGTTGTGAGCAGCAGCCTCTCTTCTTGGGCTACATGAATTGCTGGGCTGCTGCTAAGGAAATTTAATTAAGGTTAAGGGCTTAAGATACCATATTATTGGTATATCGTATATAGTAGGGTTTCCTAATTGTAGTAACTTAATTTAAGTTCCTTAGCAGCAACCCGGATTAGCACAAGCCTTCCTGTATTTCAGGCAAATGAGAGGGAAGCTGTCCGTCTGCAAGAGGAATGGTAGTTTCCATACATGGGGGACCCCAATATGAGCCTCCCCCTTAATAACCCCTGTAATACTCCCCTTCATAATCCCATGTGTAGGCCAACCTTTAAGAAGTTTAGACTATAGCTCATATAGACCCTTTGGGGAACACCTGCTTCATACCCCAAACCCTTTTGAATCTGGAACTGCATGCCCTAAACCCTTTTTTGAGGAACGGATCCCTAAACCCCTAAAACTCATGGTCCTCATGTCGAGAGAGCCTTCCTCACCTCAGTGGCTCACTGCCGTCCAATGCGCAAGGGAATGTCAGGGTTTTGGGGATATTTTCAAGGGGATATGAGGGCCTTAATCCTGGGCCCTTTAAACACCTATTATGTACCTTTTCTTTGATATAGTCCCCCTTAAGTAGATAGAATATGGGATATATGGGGATCTCATTATAATATATCCAAAGCCATATTCTATCTACTTAAGGGGACTGTATCTTCAAGAGTATGAGGCTATAGGGTTATATAGGGATATGTCGATTCGGGCTTTCAAAATTATGGTGGGCATAGCTTTTTTGGGACCCCTATGATAAAAATACCGTCGCATGGCGGAGTGAATGCTGCCTTGTTGCTTGTTTCGATTACACTGGCGTGAGCGGCGCTCTCAGCCACGACCACAGCAGCCGTCGCAGCGGCTATCCTGGGTAGCTAGCAAGGAACTGAAACTCATTACTATAATTAGGAACCCCTCTTGGTTACTATATACCCATTTTTATGGTAACTTCAACCACAAACCTTAAACCCTGTATAACCCTAAGCCCTACACCCTAAACCCCCTAAACCCTAAACCCTAAATCCTAAACCTCAAACCCTAAACCCTAAACCTTAAACCATAAACCCTAAACTCTATGGTAACTTAGTTTAAGTTCCTTAACAGCAATCCAGTATCTCCTTGGCCTGCTCATCTGGAAGTCCAGCTTCGGTTGCGGCCTGTACCTCGGGTTTTAGGGTTAAGAGTTTAAGCTTTAGGGTTTAGTGTTTAGGATTTTGGGTTTAGGATTTAGGGTTTAGGGTCTAGGATTTAGGGTTTAGGATTCAGGGTTTCGGATTTAGGGCTTCAAACTCTCTCCATCTACCAGGCATTGCTCATTTGCAGGTTTCCGCTGGATTAGGCATTCCCATCCAGACCTTCACAATTCTGCAGGCTTGCATGCGAAGGTTCACAATGCGAGAATGCACGTTTTACCTTCCCGGAAACTAACATGGAAACCCAAAAAGGGTCCCTATGAAGACTACAGTCCCTTTAAAGGGGGGCTATATGGGTTTCCTAAACCCTAAACCCTAATCCATGTTAGTTCCCTAAACCCTAAACCCTAATCCAATGGCAGTCCTTTCTGTCAAGGGACAGTGGCTTCAGCGGCTACAATGGCAATCTTCTTCTCCTCCAGGCCTCGCCTTATTGGTGGTTCGTAGGGAAGAAGGGAATATAATGTAATATATGAGCTACAGTCTAAACTCCTTAAAGGGGGTTATATAGGGGATTCTATAGGGGACTACTATAGGGGTTATTAAGGGGGATACTAGGAGTTTAGACTATAGTACATATAGGGATATATTAGGCATTATATTCCCCAGGGCCTAGACCCTTAACCCCCTAAGGCCTAAACACCTCAGTCCCTACTAACACGTAGCAAGTTGCACGGCGGCTGCCCTTCCAGCAGCTGATCCTGCAGCGACGGCGGCAAGGTTGGCTGCCTGAGGGAGCTGAAATCCTACTTAAGCATATGTACTGCAGTCAACATTTTTTAGTAGGGGATTTTGGGGTTTAGGGTTTAGGGGATTATGTAAGGGACTATTTCGGGTGTTAGTAAAAGGGATACCAGGAGTTTAGACTATGCTTCGTATTAGGAAACAACAGTGACTAGTGCCATCTAACAGAGTAGGTGACTGTAGTGCGAGATATGAGTTGGTTTTGTGTCGAGTGCGTTCTATCCCAATCCCCCAAACCCTTTCCATCCCAAAACCCTAAACCCTGAACCCCTTCGTGGCCCTGCCTTTGGAGGTGGCAAATCTAATTCCAATGCCACTTTCCTGGGTTGCTGTTAAGGAACTCAATTCAAGTTACTATATTGGGGAAGCCCTATTATCTATATATATATATAAATATATGTGTATACCCATTATGGTAACTTAATTTGAGATTCTTAACACCTAAACCCTAAACCCTAAACCGCCCAGTTTCTGAGTGGCTGTTGCAGCTGCCCGCTCCACCTGCACTTGCTCCAGACCGGCGCCCTGGGCAATTTGCTCTGCAGTGCCTCAGCTGCTCCGAAGGAACTTAGATGGGTTTAGGGTTTAGGGTTGCTAGAATAAGGGGTCTATAGGGTACAGGGTTTAGGGTCAAGGGGTATATGGGGGTTAGGGCTTAAAGTTTAGGGTTACTACAGAAAGGAAACCCTATTACTATACACCCATATTATGGTAACTTGAACTGTTGTCCCCCTTGAGTAGATAGAATATGGGGTATATCGGGATCGTGTTATAACATACCCAAAGCCACATTCTATCTACTTAAAGGGGACTATTGGTTCCTCAACAGCAACCCAGGTGCAGCCTGCTGCCGTAGCAGAAAGGACCTTCTTTACTTCGCTGGAGAGGCCTTGTACCAACTCTGCCAGGCTCGGCATGGTACCTATGGTGTACTTGGAACTCTAGGGATTTAGGCTTTAGGGTTGCTGTTCCTTATAGGGTTATAAGAACCAAAAAGTAAAAATCGTTCCAAGTACCCCTCAGGTACTGGGAGTTGTGTCCAGGAGCAGCAACTTGGCCTTGGAATTCGTTTTCTCCGCAGCTTCCATGACTTCCCTCAAGGCTTTTGCAGCCAGCTCTGCTGCCTCCTCCGTGTTCAGAAAAAACACTTTCTGAGATTTGGCCGCAGCGCCCGCAGCAGCGTAGACTGCAGCCGCCCCAACCTGTTCGGCTGTAAGAGACAATGCAACGGATGCTTCCAGCGCAGCCTTCACAGCCTTCCGCGTCAGATCTGCCGGCGCATCGTGCTTGGCAAAATCGAAGATCGCAGTCGCGGACTTTGAGCCAACCACCACTGCCACCTGCTGCGAGCTCATTCCTGCCAGCTTTGCCGCCTTGCCAGCGAGCTTCGCAAGTGTCATTGCCTCTTCCAAGGCATCCTTCTGCGAATGCTTCTGATCTGCCGCCTTTTTTGCTGCCTTGCCCGCTTTGGCCAGGATAGCTTTAGGAATTGCAAAGCTGATCGCTGAACTTGCAGCGGCCTTCGAGGCCTCAACTGCTTCTAGTAAGGTCATGCCAGCTGCCTTCGCTGCAGTCAAGGCTACCTGCATCACTTGCTCACGCTGATTGTCAGCCTGTGATGCAGAGTCCACATAGGCGGCAGCTGCTACGGTGGCTGCAGCTGCAGCTGCACGGACACTGCCCATTTTGGCCTTCAAAGCGGCCTTCTGCGCGTGGGTGGCCGCCTGGGCAGACAGCTCCTCACTCTTTGCGCTGTCTCTTGCGCTGTTGGCTGCTGCCATACCGGCAGCTAGTGCTGCAATTGACAGCATCTCCGGCGTGGCTTCATCTTTGAAAAGCTGCTGCACAGCAGCATCCGCTGCCGAAACTATTTCCTCAGTACTCATGAAGCGCAGATCCCCCGAGCGCACTGCTGCCTCCCCTGCCGCCTTAGCGATGGGTAGGGATGCGTCCGCTGCTTTCAAACCCAACTTGCTCGCCGCTTGCAGCGTTGATTTTGCTGCCAGGTAGGCGATTTCTACGACCGTTTTTTTGGAGCCTGCTTCTACAGCAGCTGTAGCTGCCTCAGCTGCGGCAACAGATAGGGTTTGCTTTGGTGTGAGCTTTGCGCCAACAGCTTTCTTGGCAGCCTCCATTGAAGTGTCGACTTGCTCACTGGGGCTGTTGTTGCCAAGCTTCTCCATGGCCTCAGTTGCTGCGCCAACAGCTGTTTTGATGACCTCCTTGGTCGTCTTGCCTTCTGCAACAGCAATCTTGACTGCTGCTTCTCCTGCTGCGATGGCACTCTTCTTCACAGCCTCCTTTGGGTCCTCACCAGTCTCCTGGCATTGCTTTTGGTGGTTGAAAGAAAACTCCTTGATGTTGCGGACTATGGCCAGAGAGCTCTCCGCAGGGTAGGAAGCTTGCAGTTAGAACCTGAACCCTAAGCCCGAACCCTCAACCCTACACCCTACTCTCAAAAAACCCTCCACTCCAAACCCCTGAACCCTAAACCCCAAAAGCCACAAAATCCTCAACCCCAAAACCCTCAACCCTAAAACCCTAAACCCCCTAAACTCTCCTTGGCAAACTGGAACACCGCCTTGGCTGCCGCTGCAGCCACCTCTGGCGGCTCACCCCCTGCCTCCCGGACTTCCTCGGCAGCCGCGGTGCCCACTGCCTTGCTGCGGGCTAGTAGGGAATAAGGGTGTATATGTATGTGTATATATATACATACACCCATCTATCTATTTATATGTATATGTATATGTATGTATATATATACATATGTGTGTGGGTGTGTGTTTGTATAAATTTGACTGTTTTCCATGTGTATATCGGGTTTTGGCTTAAGGTTAGTAGGGAACATTGGAACACATCAAACGGAATCTTCTAGCTATATAGGGAGAGATATTCCATTCTTCCCTACCCAGACCCCCCAAAGGATCCAAATAATGGAACCCCCCAAAAATCCCCTAGTTGCCCCAAAGAAGAAATGGGTACATATTGGGGGGGTTCCATTTTTTGGATCCTTTAGGGGGTCTGGGTACTAACCACCACTAAGCTGCAGTGGTCGCGGTGTCCACGACGAACTTGGGATCGACCTTCACTTCCTGAAGCGCCTGCTGTGCGGCTTTTGCAGCAGCCTCCTTGTCCTGGGTTGCTGTTAAGGAACTTTGATTAAGTGACTACAGGAAGACGACCCTACTATTCACTATATTTCCATGTCATGGTAAATTAAACCCTAAACCCTAACTTGATATGGTAACTTATATGTAAGTTCCTTAACAGCAACCCGGTATCACCCTACACCCTAAAACCCTAAGCCCTAAAACTCTAAGCCCTGAAACCCCAAACCCTAAACCCTAAATCCTAAACCCCAAACCCTAAGCCCTAAAACTCTTAACAGCAACCCAGCGTCTTCCGTGCTGTCTTGCTTGGCACCCCCGGAATCCTTCGAGTCCTTGGCATGCTTCGCTATTACCTGGGTTGCTGTTCAGGAACTTAAATGAAGCTATGAGGGGTACACTGGGTTCAGGGTTTAAGGTTTAGGGTTTTAGGGATACGGGGTGAAGGGTACACTGGGTTCAGGGTTTAAGGTTTAGGGTTTAAGGGTACGGGGTATACAAGGTTTGGGATTGAAAGTTTAGGGTTGCTATAGAAAGGAAACTCTATCATATGCTCTATACCCATAATATGGTAGCTTAAACTATAGTCCCCCTGCAGTATACTTAGTATATCATTTGCTCTATACCCATAAGAGGGGAGTTTAACGAAAGTTCAAACCCCAAACCCTAAACCCTTAACAACCCAGCAACTCGTCCGGCCGCCTCAGCAGCAGCATTGGCTGCGAGCGTCGGGCTGAGGCCTGAGTCCAAAGCAGCTGCAAAGGCAACCTGGGTTGCTGTTAAGGAACTTAATGCGGGATCCACCCATAAACGGAGACTCAAATGGAAAAGAAAATTGAAAGTGAGATGGAAACGTGGGGAATATAGGGATTTAAGGAAATTACTATACTAGGGAAACCCCATAATCTACTATATATACCTATATACTCACTACGGTAACTTAATTTAAGTTCCTTAACAGCAACCCAGCAACCTTTGCTGCAAAGGCTGCCGTCTTCTGTATGTCCTTTGAAGTGACAAAAGCCTTCCTGGGCTGCTGATATACTGGGAGTATAGTAACCCTAAGCTGCAAACCCTAAACCTTAAACCCTATGTACCCCCTATCATAGTGACTTAACTCAAGTTCCTTAACAGCAACTCAGCTTCTTTGCTGCCGTTTCACTGGCCACGGTGGCAGAGCGAACCTCGGCCTCATCCTTCGTAAGCCCGGCGGCAGTGGCAGCCTTAAAAGCAGCCGTTGCGGCTGCAGCTCCGACCTTACTGGCGGGGGCACCCCTGCTCTCCTCCTCCTCGGCCGCAGCTTCCGCTGCCACTTCTGCTGCGGCAGTTGCTGCGACTGCCTTGGGAAGCCCTGCGGCCTTTGCGGCTTCTAAAGCTGCTTTGGCAGGTTCCTGAGTTGCTGTTAAGGGGTTTAGGGTTCTTTAAGTTACTATATGTGCTGAACTGCTTTCAACGGTTACTGGTTCTTAGTAGGGATTACAGGAATATACTATCTAGGGATCCCTAAGGGTCCAAGGACCCAAATAAGAGGGTTTTTGTGTTACTATATTGGGGAAACCCTATGTAACTACTAGAAATACCCATCATGGCAACTTAATTTAAGTTCCTTAACAGCAACCCAGGTTCGTTTAAGGGCTTCTTTTCACGCCCAAGCTCCTCGCGGATGGCATCCCGGACAGCTGCTGCAGTCTCGGTCACTATACTCTTGGCAAGCTGCTTGAACCCCTGACTCCCATCCCTTCCTTCTTGTGGCACTTGTTTCGGGGCCTCCTTTAAATTCTGGTCCTGCTCCTGGGGCTGCTTAGCAGCTTTGGCATCCTTCTTAACTGCATCCGTCTCTTCCATAACTTTTTTGACCTTCTTTGGCTTGGGTTCCTGTGCCTTGGGCTTTCCAGGTGTCTTCTCCACGTGCAGCACAGGGCCACCATCAGCCTGCTTCAGGAACTCTATGCGTGAGAGGCGCCCATCTGAGTTGCTATCTAACCTGGGCTGCGGCTAAGGAACTTAAATTAAGTTACTACAGTAAGAGACTGTATTATGGACCCTATAAGTTACCTAATATATCAATGTTATGGCAACTTAACTTACACTGTTGAACCGCAGCCCAGTAACAAGTGGAATAAGGGAATCAATTTCTCGCTGTTTTGCCAGTCCCTTGGGTAGAATTGACGGGCTGAAAACAAAAACTCATCCTGTGAAATCCAGCCATCACCATCTGCGTCTGCAGCCCGAAATGCAGGAGAAAGTCCCAACATCTGTCGGGAACCCTGTGCCGCAATGACAAACTCAGTGCGAGAAATGCTACCGTCACCATCAGCATCCATGGCTGCGAAAATATCAGCCAAGGAAGCCCGGTTGGCAGGACTGTTTCGAATGGCTCCGGCAATAAACTCAGATCTGGATAGGCTGTCATCGAAATTTCTATCCAACATGTCAAATGTTTGTTCCACGACCACAGCATCAGTGTCACCTGGGTCGCGCTGCGCTCCGAAGTTCATGTTCTTGTACAGCGCTTCGTTCACATCTTCCGACAAGGGAGCGGCCTTCTTCTTTTTCTTCTTGAAGAGGCCGCCGCCTCCAAACGGATACGCTGCGTCGTCCAACTGCAGGAATGCCACACTTGATCCACCTGCAGGGGTAGCATGCTCCTGCCCTAAACCCTGAATCCCCAAACCCCAAACCCTGAATCCACAAACTCTATACCCTAAACCCCTACACTCTGGGAACCTCAGGCTCCACTGAGTCTTTTGAACACATGCCTCGGAGCTTCGAGGACTCACCAGCCCAGAACCACAGGCTCTGAAACAATACCACCCATGATCTCATTCGGTACAGACACCTCCCCATGGTAAGCTGCAACTCAGCAGACATCTTCGACATGTCCACACTACTAACTGATTATAAAGATGAGACATAAAATCGCGAATCTGGTAATAAATCACAAACATAATATAGGAAGCGTAATAACACTCATAATGAATAATCATGACTGATACTAACATTGGTTCGCCTTCGCAGCTCTTTGACAAATAATAGTATGCAGGATCCCTATGGAACCAGTAAGGAAAGTATTAACATCCCATAGGCTAACCTACTAATAAGGAGTCAAGAAAAAACAAATTTGGATCTTGGATATGCTCCCTCACTATTCTAAATTAATTTACGCTTCTGAACAGCAACCCAGTCTCTCTAAACCCTAACCCCTAACCTAAACCCTAAAACCCTAAACCCTTAAACCCTAAACCATGGAAAAAAGGCGCCTTTGGATCTTGGATCTCCCGGTATCTGCTTCGCTCCGGCCTCAACTTTGCCAGGAATCAAGGAATTTTCCTTTGTACCCTTAGAGTTTGTACCCTTGGGTTTGGACCCCTCATCTATGGCATCCGGCGCTTAATAAAGGTATTTGAGACCCAAAGCGTAAGGTTACAAAATCTTACAAACATTAAGAAGGAAACTGACTAGGCCTGTGGTCAAAGGTTGAATGAAGCCTAACCTTGGGCCTCTAGTATGGGCCCTTAACCCTGGTATCCTTATATACCTTCAATATACCCTATAAATGTACCCTTAAGGGTTCCGAGTATCTCCCTTGAAGGCCTATGGGCCCATATTGGGGGTCCATGCTTCTAACCTTAGATTTGAAAGGCACGCACACCCCAAATTAATGGTACCTTTAGAGGGGATATAGGGGCTCTATAGGGGTATACAGGGATATGTAGGGATTAGGGGTTTTCCAAATTTAGGTGTCCCTGTTTGGGGGTTCCCATAATAAGGATTATATTGGGGTCTGTATAGGCGTTTTCTTCTTGGAAAGCAGCTGAATACCGGCGCAGCGCGGCGGCTGCACTACCTTGCGGAGGTGGCGCCCAACCTGAGGCATCTGCAGGGGGAAGGATGACGAAGGATGCATGAGCACGTTGCTCAGCATGATACTCTTGATACTAAGAATCCTGCATGACATTCATTCCTTGTTGCACCATTATTCCCCAGGTTGGGGGTACTTAGAGTCATGCAGGATGTTTAGTATCAACCGTAGCCCAAGCTACGGACATACGCAGGGCACAGGGACTGGCAGAGATTCCGCGAGGAGCAGGACTCTGCGACACCCGGCTTGAGCACCCAAATTCAAGAGCGGAATAGTCATGCAAGTTATGAACAAGATGAATACAAAGTAAGAACTGATAATAAGTTAGAGATCGACAGTAATGCAAGTTTTAATGGTACAAGTTCTACATAATTTTCTAATACTACAAATAAGAATCACCGCCTGCTTTTGTGCTCAAGCCTGTTCAGCTTCGTCGCATAAACGACGCTGAGCAGCTGTGCAACTGACAAACACTCTGCTGTTTTGTCGGGGGCGCTGCTCTCAGAACTACTCAACTCGAGCGCTTGCGCAGAGCCGCTCGGAATGCCTCACCCAGACAAGTGCCAGCCTGACAAGAGGCACAACGGCTTGGAACAGGAACAACATCCACCTGCAGCAGCAAAGAAGCTAACCCTAAACCTTGAGCACTAAACCATTAAACCCTAAACTCTTAAACCCTAAACTCTTAAACCTCAAACCCTTAAATGCTCAACCTCACAGCAGGCCTCCAAGCATTCTGGGCCTGAGACCTTCCGGGGGAGTTGCGGCCATGCTTATGGGTTTCCCACAATTAGGGCTACCTTTTGGGGGTCCCCATACATAAGGCTTCTAGTACTTTGGGGTCTATATTCGGGTCCGCTTATTTTGGGAAACTATCACATGTCGTTTTGCTGTAACTACGTAACTCAAAACAGGACTGATTCAGGGCTTAAGGTTTAGGGCACTTTTTTCCAACTGACCAGTGAGCAACTAAAACTGCACAACTGCTATCCTGGGCCAGCCTTGTCCAGCAATGTCGCCTTAGCATGGTTGGCTCATGCCGACCCCTCAGCTGTTCCCTGCAGCAATTACATGAGCTATAGTTTAAACTTGTCTAAACTCCTTAAAGGGGGTTATGTAGGGGATTAAAGGGGGGAGTATTATAGGGCTAATTAAGTGGGATACTGGGAGTTTAGACCTTAGCCTGCATAAATGCGCGGCCTTCAACTTATAAATGTTGCGCATGCCCAAAAACCGCACATCAGTGCTACCTAGAGCCTAAACATCCCTAGATCCTATATACCAAAACGACTTGTGACAGCTCCTGGCAACCAGGCGGCAGTATCCCTCGTGAACTTCAGCACCTTAAGTGCACGTGCCCGATCGGCAAGCAGCGCTGAGTCAAGACTGCAGACTTTCAGCAGGGATAGTGATAGCAGAGCTTGGGATTTAGGGTTCAGGAGTAACAGTCATATTTGAAGTAACAGTAATACCTTTAGTAAATAATAGAAATAGTACTAGTTATTATTGTCGTCGTCGTCGTCGTCGTCGACG